TTGTTTAAATAATCCTGTTAATATATTCATTGTTGATGTTTTACCTGCACCATTATGTCTATTTAATTTTTAAATATTATTAAATGTTATTATATTAAATGTTATATATTGTAAAGTATTAAAGTATTAAATGTTATATTAAATGTTATATTGTAAAGTATTATTAGAAATAAAAATTATTATTAAAATTATTATTAAAAAATATTAAAACATACCCTAATAAACTAACACATTGATTATCTTCAACAATTAAATTTAAACCTTTCAAAGCCTTTTTCTCTCTAAAAAATCTGGATTGAGCAATTTTGGCGGGAAAACATTTAGCAGCTAATTTAGTTAAAAATCCTGAATAAGTTTGTCTCAATGAAACAATTCTAACAACTGCATTAATTGAAGAATCACGTGAACGTTTAAATTCTTCTTTAACATCATTTGTTTCCATTTGTGAATAATCTTGTTCATCTTGATTAGTATTAGTTTTAATAGTTGATTTACTTTTAAGACAATTTAATCCCCAATAGGAAGGATATATAAAGAAAATTGGTGATTTTCTAACACCACTTCCATCTGAAAATACATTATCACAATACCAATATAAAATTAAAAATAATAATCCATTTAAAATTAATACAATTATACCTAAATAAGAAGCAGGTACATAATCATATGTATTTGTACCAATAAAGAAATCTTCAAATGAATATCCAGGTCCAGGTACAAACTTTCTCAATTGATCATCATAAACAGGTAATGTTTTAGTTGCTATATCTGTAAATACTTTAGCAAAATTAAATGGTGGATAAAAACTTAATATTACTCTAAATGCAGGTGTTACACTTGTTGAATATAATTGATATACTATATTTCCATTAGATACAAATAAATTTAATATCTATTATTATTATTAAAATATTAAATATTATAAAAATATTAAATATAAAATTATTAAAAATTAAATAAAAATAAAAAACATACAAATGAAATAGCTAAAACAGTAAAACCTAAAACTAGAGCAGATTTAGATTCCTTAATAAAAGTAGATAATAAAAAAGCAAAACAAACTAAACTAAAACTAAAACAAAAAAATAAAATTAATAAAATTAAAAAATTTGCTTTCAAAAATATTGAAATTTGAAAAATCATTCCACCAATAACATTAACAAGACTAAAAACAAAACAAATAATAAAAAAAGTAATAAACCAAGATATAAAATAAGCAGAATCTTTCATACCCATCATTATCATTGCAAATCTTAATTTACCTTCCTTTTCAACAACTAAACTATTTAAAGAAACAATTAAAATAATCATTGCACCAATACTAAAAAAGGTAGGACCAGTTGAATTATAAATTATAACTTGACCATTCTTTCTAGTTGGTGGTTGTGGTAAATTTTTATAATCAACTTTAATTGAATTTCTAAAATCTTGTAATTCACTTGTTCTATTTAATTGTTTCATTCTATAATATACAATTGTATTATCTATTATATTTTGTAATGATAAAATTGGTAATTTTAAATCTGTTTTACTTCTATTATAATATAATATATATGATATGGTATTTATAGAATCAAATACTTGATTTGGTATAAATGATATACCAATTGAAGTTAGATTAGGATTTGAATAAAACCATGATTCCATTTCAAATTTAGTTGTAAAATTTTTATAATCTTCATCTTGTTGTACATTATAATCTTGTACTAATTGATTTAGAATTTGTGATCCAA